TTTCCCTAACAAACCAAGATTAGCATGAGTGATACCCATTTTCCGCATTTATTTTATAATTTTATTTTCTGCATTTTTTTAATAATCAGAAAGTTCATTAGTTATTTTTTTAATAAAATTGTATTTATCTAAACAATTCTTTTTAAGTTAGATTTGAACACGAGATAAAAACATATTTTGCATTATTTTTTACTATGAAAACACCAAAATTTGGATTTTTCTGTATTTTTTTATGTTGGTTGATTTTCTTTCCCCTATATTCTAAACTAGCGGAGGGTATATGAATTTAAAAAAGAAAGAAAGAAAGGCTTGATTAGGTTTGTTGAGTTCAAAAGAAAATCAGAAACGGTGTTGTTGGTAGGTAGAACCCATAATAGCACCCAAGTTTGGGTGATCTGGTGGTGAGAAAATATGCAAAGCATGTTCTTACCCTGGATTCAAACCCAAGCGTGGGGAGGAATATTCACCTGAACTTTTCCGGGGTTTTCTGAAAAATGTAATCGGACCAAAGGTTCGGTGAACTTAGGATTATAAAAAAAACAAAAACCATAATAGCAATTAGCAACACGTCTAGAAGATAACACGTAAATCTTATCAGAAGCGCTCACACATGAAAAGGAAAGGGATCGGATTTATTCCACATCGCAACCAGATTCTGTTGTCGTATTATGAAACGTTAGCTCTCGGAATTATTGTGATGGGCCGACCGAATTTATGCGTCGGCAGCTACTTCACCATTATGTGGGATCTCGAAATTCACTTCACAAACCCAACGACCAATGACGGGCAAGCAGCGAGTGACTTTCCACGTTTGCTGGTTTTATCAACAAACATTAGAATAATTTACTATCAATAGGTGATGATGCGCCAACACATCTAAATGATTAAAATCAATAAATCTAGTTTAAATATGGAATGGTATCTAAACAAAATAATGCCAAAAGATGGTTACATAAACAAATTTTTTAAATTAAAACAACGATTATAAACTGAACATAGATAAAATTCGAACAAAATTGAAATAAGATATAAAAATCGGGAAAAAAACTAATTTTTCAAAAAATCCAAAACTGAGATCAAATAATTACTTGTTTTGGAAACATTATCCAAAAATAATACATGTAATCATCAGCTTTCTCACTCAAAAAAATGTGATCATCAGTCCGGGAATCCTCAAACCTCAATCAATAATGTGAATATACGAACCCATCTAAAAAAAATCAAAAATAAAAGAACGCAAAAGTCGTACAGCTCTTCCTAAAGTCTCACTGCCCATGTTGTTTCTGTGACATCTCCAGCAAGTTTCAGCCGAAATGTCTATGCAATGTTTATACACTTCAAGATCTAAAGAATCTATACAACAAGAATCTTGACACAATCTATCGAATCTACGGTAAAAGCCCATTACCATTGTGGAATTCTTTTGCCCTGTTTCTAAAAAATAAAATTTTTTGTTTGTTTTTTTACACGATTTTGTCCATGAAAGGTGGTTTTGTTGGTGAAGGCAATTCGATTCCTGTATCTTTAAGCATTTGGATTACCTTAGACATCCAAGGGCGAAGATGTGGAGACTCCTGTGTGCACAAGAGGCCTATCTGGATCACTCTCTTGACCTCGTCTACGTTATCCATGTCTTTGTCTATCATCTCTTCTACCTTGTCCGAAGAAAAGCACTGCCACACCTATACGAGAAAGGACCCAACATCAACAGATTCTAAAAGAATGCGAGATTTATCTCCCACCTCTTTCATGTATATGTATGTGCATACATACACTCATACGTTTAGGAGGGTCACCTCCTTCATGTGTATGTATGTGTGTACAAACACGAGCGCGTATAGGAGGAAGAGCACCTCTTTCATGTGTGTATGTGCATCACACACTCATGCGTATAGTAGGAGGGTCACCTCTTTCATGTATATGTATGTGTACACGCATGCATATAGGAGGAGGGTCACCTCTTTCATGTATATGTATGGGCATGCATACACTCATGCGCAGTATAGGAGGGTCGAGAAAACTCACTCGAGTTACTAATGTTTCCAACGAGTTGTCAGATCTGAATCTGTTGTTTGGGACACCACATGCTATCTCAAGAACAAGGACTCCGAAGCTATAAACATCGATTTTACTGGTTAGTCTTCCGTCGCTGATATATTCAGGAGCCATATACCCTCTGCATACAAAGAAAATTTTATATACCGGAAAACAAAACAGAATAAGGGATCAAAAGAAGGGATTGAGTGGGAACAAACACTGGAAAAAAAAACCACAGTCGAAGTAAGGATTTCATGTGCTTTTTCGTGTTTTTGTTGACTTGCACTAATGGATACTTACAGCGTTCCAGCGATGGGAGAGGGAGGTATGTTCTTGTTGCTGTCTGGGTAAAACTGGGCTAATCCAAAATCTGATATTTTGGGTTTGTATCTTAAGTCTAACAAGATGTTGCTTGCTTTGATGTCTCGATGGATTATCCGGCATTCATGAAGATGCTCTAACCCTTCAGCTGTGCCTAAAATTATCGCGAGCCTCTTCTTCCAGTCAAGCTCTTTCTTCTTCTCCGGGTCTTCAGTCACATGGATGTCCACAAAAAATATTTTAGGACAGGCAATCATGGTATATTAACAAAACATGGTAGCTAGACATGGATACATGTAAAACGAGCAATTCAGGAAGGGATCTTACGGAATAGGAAGTGATTCAAGCTTGTATTTGCAAGGAATTCATAGACCATGAAACTATTCATGTTGGTGAAGCAGCATCCTAAGAGACGAACCAAGTTCTTATGCTCGCATTTGCTAATGACATCAATCTCATTATGAATCTCTTCCTGTGGTTTATTTCCACTGATATGCATGCGCTTTATCGCAATTTCTCTGCCATCAGGCAGAGTTCCCTGCCACATCAAAGAAAAATTCATTAAGCATGCTCGGATAATTGAACACCTCGAGAAGGAGAGAGAGAGAGCGAGACCTTAAACACTTCACCATATCCTCCAATACCAAGCCTGCAAGTCTCATTGAAGTTGCTGGTTGCTTTTTGAAGAGTCGAGTACTTGAACCTCATGAATTTCGAGTCATTGCATACAGCCCGAGACTCCTTCTCTATCCTTAGAAGGGAAAGTATTACAAAAAAAAAATACATAACAACACGTTTTCTTCATTTCACCAGTACAGTGAGCATGGGAAAGGAGCAAATAAGTACCAAACAAGTGGATTTAAGACTGTTTTTCAACAACGAAGTTACCTCGTCGCTTCTTTCCTCCACTAGTGAGCACATAGATGCATTTCCCACACCAATATCCAGTTGTAAGCGCCAATGCGCCCACAATAACAATAAACAAGATATATATAACAAAAGCCCTAGTTGCACCTGCAAATGAAAAGAATCACACATCTTATATCATAAAACATTCACAGCATGCATGCACATGGAGGAGATCACAAAGAGCTAGAGAGATAATAGACCGGCCTAAAGAGCGGATGGAACCACGTTCGCTGTAGAAGGCATAGTCAGAGTAACGCAAATAGCAGCCTGCATTAAGGGCGAAACCTTCCTTGGAAGGCAAGCAACCAGCTACAGATAAAGCTCCATCTGATAAGCATAATTTGCACAAATCCTCGTCAAGTGTTTGCCAGCATATTCCCAACCCATATGCAGTTAGGTGGTGATGGTGGTCACCCTTTTGGCTGACTGCAAAACCTTGAATATACGGAGCCCGATACTCAATGTCTTTAATCACTTGCTTCACTAAGTTCCCAAATTGTGCGGTTGATTCATTGCCACTACTGCATACCTACACTAAAATTACATGAGACGTGTATCGATAGCTTCAGCGAAATGATCGAATGAGCTATATGAATTATGAAATTGTCTCCGTGCACACAGATTTGAAACATGTCCAATGTCGGGTTATGGATAGAAACTAAACCTAGTTTACCCAGAAAACCAGAGAATAGAATACCTTGCTGTCGTAATGCGTGATAGCTTCGTCGTAGAAGCTGTAATTCTCGGCCCTGATGAAGCACCCGTCGAGATAAAACCTGCCTCCCGTGGCCGGAAAACATTGAGAGAGGAGATCGGCGGCGCGTGACCAGCACACGCCGCATTCCTCGAGGGTCAGATCGCCCATACACTGCGACAAGACATACATCCTCTGCGGCGGATCTCCGTGCTCGTGCCTACCGAACTTGAGCTTCTTCATGTGATTCCGGATCTTTTCTAGGTTTCCCTGGTAAGATCTCAGATAGGCCGCTCCGTCGGAGACGTTGTCCTTGTTGCAGCCCCACGAGATGACGTCGAGTCGAGAGATTCGCGTCGAGTTCGCCATCGTTGAAAGAGTTAATAGCACTACGATAAGGATCATGAGGAGGAGAAATGGCGATGACGCCATTAGAGAGAGAAGGAAGCTTGATTGGGTTTCTTCGTTTTTGATTTTGCCCAGGATTTTTCCCCCACGCCATTGGAAGTGACAGAGAGGGAATGCAAAATGACAACTCATATTGTGATCTCAAATAGATAGAGCCGTTACGCGTTCTGTTGGGCCCATTTTACATAGGCCCATTAAATTATTCGAAACCCAGCAAACTATTCACAATTTCAGGCCCATCTATCTCGACCCACCTCGGGAAAATATACAAGAAAGCATCCATAAAATATAATTAATTTTGGTATTTTGTATTAGAGAAAGCCTGAGAGGCGCTACAAAGAACCCGAATCATGAATTTTTTAATTTTTTTAATTATTTATTTATTTATATTACTCTAGGTGATCTTCAATATATTAAAACAAATTTGCAATAAGTTACGAGGTAGGGAAAAAGATCACATTATTTCTTCTTTGACAAAAAAAAATTACATTATTTCTTTGTAGCACGTGTGAAGGTTAAAACATACATGGGCTTTGTGGTCATCGGGGCCCAATAAGGCCCAACATGACTAACACACAGAGAATCCAGTTTCTTGTCGTATGTCCTTCCGTACGGACGGGTCAGCTTCACATGGGAAATGCAAGACCACCCTGTCTCAATGCTTATACATTTGGATGTAAAAACCTTTGAAGAATGGAAGGAACGACTCTTACAACGTGAAGTCAATGTTTTGATTCCCATGGATTTTGTTGTTGGTGTTTGAAAAAATCAGATATAGAACAGGAATGGGTTTGTCTGATCGCGCTGCTGTCTGAAAATCACTGGGGCAACAAAATGTGTTTGATTCTGACTAGTAGAGCAAATAAGCCGTAGCAAGGAAGATGCATCAGTGCCACTGTCAAATACCTGCACATGGGATATAAGGTCACGATCATACAACATTTGCACAACCTCAATGGATTGGTTATGTTACATCATCCATTGATATCTATGGCAAGCAAACTAGTCGTTTCTTCTTTCAACGATCCTTATCATATTTCCTTCAGGTGTGCGGTAACAGGTTTCTATTTGATCCAACAAAGACCCCATTTTGAAAAAAGTGTTCGGTCTCTTGTTCACTTCAAAAAGAATGGTGGAAATCTTGACTTTAGCCTATAACTTCGACTGCGTATCTCCTAATCGAATTTCGGTTGTAAATTGTGATGTATCTAAAAAACGTAAGTTGCGTTTGCTTACCATAGGGGCGCCATCGGAGACGACAAGTCGAGAAATGGGTACGGCCACCTAATGTAACCCCAAACCCGGTGAGAAAAACAATAACACAAAATAAAAGCGCTTTTGAGGATGAACCACGAGGTATAAAAACCCCAACCGAGAGAAGAATGATCAAGAGTTTTACCTAACGGAGATGCAGGCATGGATTATCCACTGGAAAACGACGAAACTGCCCGTCCACAAGACGAAGTAAGAGATCCTGAACAAGGGAAATCTCTGCAAACAAACGGTTCACGATGTTACATAAGAATTTATTTTTTCTTTTCTTTTCAAAAACCAGAGTGATAACTTTGGTCGAGAAGGGGCAAGTGGTTTACCAGGCAGTTCAGAGCTGTGTCACAAAGCAGTAAAACGAGGTTGCTCGAGTGCAAATTCACCGTCATCTGGAATACATTGATTCAAATAGAAGTCAAGGTAGTAAAAGGGTTGCCCGTCGGTTGATCTCTATAAGTACATACGAAATTATAAAGGTATATATAAATCATCGTAAAAGATGGACAACGACAAGTACAAAAATGAAAAACAGGGAATATGATATGCTAAAGATTCTAAAACCTTTTATCATACTCACAAAATTTAGATCGTAGTCTTGGATAGAAAGATATGGGAAAATCACACCCCAATATATGCAGTCTGTAAGCACAATTGCTCCTGCACTCATCTGTTTATGACAAACCAAATGAAGCTTTAATTAGCACACAATATCCCTCTTCTAAGCCGAACATACATCTCAAGACGGACGGACCAATTTTACCTGAAAGATTATTTGAAAGAGATGAATACAGGAATCAAGAGCTTTTGATACCACTCGAGCACCTGCAATTTTTCTATTTTTAGTGCTATTCATGCCCTCTCCTTCTATAAAGGGCTGACGATGTCCGTTCTCTGGGACAGTTCCACTTCGGTCGGTAGTAACTCTCATGCTCTGTTGTCTCCCACATTGAGAACATCCATACACTGAAAGCAACGATCCCAACTACATAATGCAGATGTAACCAAGATGTTCAAACCAATCAATGTGTATCCATTATGCCTTTTTTGTTGAAACCAGACATATATATTCCACGTGAAGATCAAAACATACCCCGAAATATATCGTCAACAATGTAAACGTCCACCTGCCACGCGGGTATACGATTAAAATGCAGTAGACATAGAATCAAAAGCCAAAACAACACTAATATCTATTGTTATAAAGAGCAAATCTACAAAAAAAAAAAACACTACATTTGGTCATAAGATGGCATCTACAAAACAAATGTGCCTAAACATGGAAAAACCGATGTCAAGGCATCAAACCATCATTGGGTTCCACCCAAACTCCAAATGCAATCCACAGGATCAAACTTTTCTTAATTTGTAGAATGAAAGAATTCTACACAACAATCTAGAATGTGTTCATGATGATTAGCAATAACAATCATGAGGTGGCTTACTGAGTGTAGTAGTAGAAAATACTCCATCCACGAACAAGAAGCCGAACAATTGTTGTCGCAAGAAGGAAGCAAAACGCGAGAACCCGGAAACCAAGCAACCAACCCGGATGGATTTGATTAAGACAAGGTCTCCAAACATCATCAACACTCAAATCCTGTCTCCCCTTACCATCATCATCATCATCATCATCATCGTTTGCCCTTGTTTCAACTGAACGATCCTCGTACTTCCATATGATAAACAATGCTCCAACCACAGGAGCCAATACCCATATCTCACAGAGAAAGACCCTCCAGTTCAACCAGTAACTCAACCTGGTTGAGTCGGCGTCATTCTGGGAACTCATTTTTCTCTTACCAACAAAAATAAGAATCAACTCAGCAGCTCGGAAACTGTCTGAAGAACCCAACTCGTGTCCGAAACCAGATGGATCAACGAACACTTGAGAAATGATAAATCATGCACCGGCGGGTAAAACGTGATTTCATCGGAATTTAGACAAAAATTGATCCAACCCGACTGATTTTGCCTAACGAATACGAGATATCATCGGATTCAAACGAAAACCCATCTCGAGAAATTTCCAAAATTCTGTGATATTCTTGGAACGAGAACAGATTGGATAAGCTCAATACTCACAGAACATCAGAATAGATGGATTAGATCCTCAGATTGCTACAACACGATTGATGATCGGTGTGTAGTGATTTCGAACTTCCACAACCTCAAAAGAATTAAAATCTCTCACGTTTCAAGGAGGAAAACGACACCAAGAGATTTCACTTCGAAGCCACGAAAACAACCGCAATCCAAAGCCACGAGAAAATGAGTGCGTGCAAGACCTTCTCGGTAGACTTAAACACAAAACGACAGCGTTTTTATAGTATTTTGTACTCTATAATTAATATTGGGCTTAAACTTTCAAGAGGCCCATTAAGCCCAATGTATATCCCCACCCACCCACGAAACATATATGACAAACACTTTAATGATAATAATATTAAGATACATCATACTAGATCATGATCATACCATATAGCCCGATTTGCATTTTTTTTTGTAAATGTCCTCAGGAGCTCTTTGTTAACATCATCTCCGTTCTAATGCTAACATATTATATATATATATATATATATATACATATATATAATATATATAGAGATAGAGACAGATATATATACATATATATATATATGACAGTTCCGAAGATGCTGAACCAACAATATGAAAAGCACTGGTCAAACTAGATCAAGTTCCTGGATACAATACACCATAACAAGAACATTAGTTTCATTTTTTTTGTTACGCGCATGGTTTACTTTATTGATTATTAAACTATATATTATACGAGAGATAATATATATATATATATATATATATATATATATATATAAGTTCTTGAGTTTGATACATCGCCTAAGCACTTCCACCACCGGTAAGGGTCTCCAAGAGAGCTATCTCATTCATCATCAATTGATCACAGCCGTACATAAGCATCCAGCTGTCCAGAATCTGTTCATCAAATTCTGTACCACTCCCAGACGCAGACGCAGAACCCGAGCCGGACGCAGAAGTAATCGCAGGAATCTGCATTTGAGCACCCGCGTCAAGTCTTAGACCCATTACTCCGTTGACAAGATACTCACAGTTATTGCCAAAGTCATATCTCTCCCCCATCTCATGGTCACGCCGCTGCTCTTGAACCGCCGCCCTCTTGCCCTTGTCTCTGACCCTGCGACTAGCGTTTGCGGCGGCAATGGCGGCGACTGCGTTTGAGGGGTCGTCGTCGGTGACGGACCTGATGTAGTCCTGGAGAGCCTGGCTACGAGGGACGAGGGCATTTTCGTCTTTTCCCTTGGTCCTTCTCGAATGCTGCCTCCTTTTGGTTGCGTTCCAATGGTTTTTGATTGTGTTCTCTGTTCGACCAGGTAGCCTCCGAGCAATCTCTGCCCATTTATTTCCGATCTCCATGTGAGCCTGGATTAGTATCCTGTCCTCTTCCTCGCTCCATGCATCTTTCTGTAATCAAAACACAGATTATATTCATGTTTACATTTATAAATATACACCAACATACGTATATATACGTATATGTGTATATACATATATGTATATATATACGCTGTCATTAACAATTTTGTAATTTTCTTTCGGCAGAAACACACAGACAGGGAATCTCTGCGACGATAGCTTTACTTTGAAAAAACAATGTATTACCATAAATGTGACGGGTTTTCCATGGGAACAAGACAAATGATTAACAAAGAAAGTTGTTTTACTCTTTACAGAACGCGTCAAAAAGGTTATATGATATACATATATAAATATATACGAACGAAATTGCAAATGTCACAACCGCCATTTACACTTTGACATCTGTAACAAAAAAGTTTGAAATTCTCTTACGTATGCATTTACATGTGTGAAAATTTGGTAACGATGTGTGATTATATATATGGTTATTGTATAATATTCCGCAATCGAAATATACATGGCATCGAGAAAATAAATTCACCAATAACACAATTACATGCATATTAATATATTTGAACTAACATAAATATCTTCGTATAAATTCATGATATGCATGCATATTATACATTATACGTGATGATATGCATGGATAGATTTTCTCATTCATGTAGCTCACCTACATACAAAACTTCGTGCTGATATATGTATAGACATATATAGATGCTACGAATATATGTGTATATATGTATACAGACCCATGCATAGACATGGAGACATGTATGTAACGAGGAAGGAAGGAACCTTGATGTCGGGACGAAGATGGTTGTGCCACCTCTCTCTGCATTGCTTCCCTACTCGGCCATGGAGCATCTTTGCAATCTGAGACCATTTCTTTATGCCATGTCGTTCAACCAATTGCATCAACAACCTATAATTAAAATATATATATATATATATATATATATATATATATTAACATATCATTGACGGATGTGGAATGCATATCACACATATATATGGATACCATACGAAAAACCGCAACAAAAGGAAATCTCATTAACGACTTTTATGATATTGCAAAAAAAATGAAACCATTTGATTTTTGTTGATTTTTTTTGCAAGAAAAAAAATCAAAATGATGAAGATTTAGATGATCTTGCCTGTCCTCTTGAGGAGTCCATTGCCCTTTGATTATGTTGGCCTTCTTCGAAGATTTGCTTCCCCTTCTCATCATCATTCTCTTGCTCTTCTTGATGATCTGACCGGCTTTCATCGCCTGATCTTGACACCGGTTCCGGATATCAACCGCCGGAACCAGATCCAACGGCAGAGATTCAACCATCGAGGACTCAAGGACTGGCTCGGCGACTGTGAGCCCTTGATCATGTTCGGGCTGACCGTGAAGAGTACCATCCCACATGACATGCTCCGGCAAGCCATGCAAAATACCGGAAATGCCCTCCGACAAAGCCCCGGGGCCGGTGCTATCCATAGTGAAGAATTCTTGGTTGCTAGATACATTATAGAGAAATGCCTCGAAGGCGAAGTTGCACGGGAAGGGATTGATACTCATGAAGGCCTCTTTCGAGGGCGTTTCGCGAGTGATGAGTTGGTTGAATTGATCGAAAGCGGAGTTGTAGCAATCAAAAGCGGTGTTTATGATAGACGAGGCTAGATTTCGATCGGGACTATCGGATATCGCGTTTCGAATCGGCAAAATGTCGGACGATTTTTCGGAGAAAGAGCCATCGATATTATCCCGGTGAGGTTCCAAGAACTCTCCGCCGACTACAGAAGCTTCGTCGCTGAAATCGTTTATATCGAAATCATCGTCATAGAGAATTTTCGCGAGAAACGGAAATTGCGTTCTGAAAACAACATCAAAATCCATGTGAGGAGTTGGAGAGAAATAAAATATTTAAACATATATATATATAGATAGATAAAACAGATATATATATATATATATATATATATATATATATATATGATGACTGACTGAACAGAGATGACGAGAAGTGAGTCGATAGGGGTACTTGAAGACTAAGCACGATAGAGGTGGATTTGCAAGAAAGGGATGGGAGAGCTTTATAGGGAAAATTGAGGACGAAAAGGTGGAAAAAAAGATACGACGGTAAATAGTTAAAATCATTTTTTTACGTGGGTCGGTAATCAGAGAAACTGCGAGGGGAGGACTGCTGACGTGGCAAACACAGCCATTGATGGTGTGGCCGGGACAAGCGGTCGACATTGCGAGATGAACGTGACGCTTAAGCTTCCATTTTAAACTTGGGCTAGTGAGCTCCCGACGAGCAAAGACGGTCCGTCGAAGGGTAAAATGGGCATTCTACTATATATTTTTGTAAGAGTAGGTGATAATCATGAAGTCGTTATAAGGTAGTTTGTGTCTTGCGGAAAATTCTCGGGCATGTTTCTGACACGTGTCAAACATGTAAGCGGCTTCTTTTCTTCTATAAAGGTAATGGGTTATTTATAGCCGTAGGATATTATTTGTGGTTGCGGAAATCGGACGGTTTTCATTGTTTATGGATTTCCTGCGGGTCCACCTTGTGAAGCCATGGGTCCCACCAGTTCCGACAACAAAAAAAATGAGGAAAACACACACACAATAATTTTATTCCTGCGAAATATCTAATTAAGTGTTTTCTTGTTTGCTGTCTATATAGTAAATATTTTCGAAAATAAATGTTTGTTTGTAGATGTTTTAACACAAAAAAACAAAATAATTAAATTCTAATAATAAGGAAATATTAATAATTTTAATTCACTTCTATTATTTTCCTTCACATTTGCCGTAAATATCTAATAGATGCATTATAAGATTTTTTAAAAAAATTGTTGTAAGATATTTGTTTCGAAAGATTAAAATTTTCTTCCGGATACAATACTCGGTGGATGATATTTTTTCCAATTTTCTATATTCTTTTTATGTGATTTTTTGGTAATTATTACTGGAATGTGTAAATATAGTCATTATCTGTCAATCTTTTTATGGAAGTAAATTTTAAAAATTCAATGTTGAAAATCCCGGGATGGAAAGGGCGTATTTGAAGCCAAATAAAAATCTGAGCTAAATAGAATAAGTTCCTATTCTGTAACTGAACAGTTAATGCCATAACATATTTGGCTTCTGAATAAATACACCCTCATTTAATGCCTATTAATTTCTGTCATATCTTCTTATCTTCTTCTTTTTTACCTTTTTTTCTAAATATTTTTTAAAAGAATGATAACAAATTAAAATAAACCATTTGTTTATTTGAATATCTCCGAAAATGTTAAAAAAAAAGTTATTTTTATAAACAGATTAATTACAGCTAATTTCAGTCAATTAAAATACAAATATCCTGTCAATTTCCATATTAGCCAACCCTCATGCCCAATACACCGAACATACTAATATTTTTTCTTCTAAAGTTGAAAATAGAGCCGTACCCGTATACTTGTGGAACAAATAAAATAAAATGATAAATTGTTATACTATAGTTTTTTTATGGCATTTATACTAATACTAGGATACATTGATATGGGAACTTTTCTAGACATAAAAAAGTTTATAGCAGTTTTTTTAATATATGTTTAATTTCAAATTTTCTTATTCGTCAACTCATACTAGATTGCAGCAAATAAAAAACCATAATATTTAACAAAAATAAAAATTAAAAAAATATTACTATTTAGAAATATTTCAAAACATATAATGTCTATAAGAAAAAAAATTGAAGGTTGGTATGGCTCTCGTGTGTATGTGTGTATATATATAAAGGTTTCGATTTACATTATAATGGTAATATTAATTACGAATTATGTGATATTATTAATAATTTAAAAGTGATTAAAAAACAAATTGATCTCAACAAGAAATCGGACATGGAGGATCTGTGGCATGTGCATGGAGGCTGAGGTAAGAAATTTGTGGGCCTTTGCATGGTGTCCATTTGTACGTAAAGAGGCCTTCGTTCAGGCGTAAAAATAGGCCGAAAAACGGCATGTTTGTTTTCTTCCCCTACCCGAAAAAACAGCACGCAGTTCTTCAACTTCCCAGACACTTCCATTCCAATCAGAGGTTTAAGATTGGGACCGTTTTAAAATAAATTATTTTAGCGGGCCACCATGAAATAAACCATTTGTGAGGGTCCATTATGTAAATACATTATTGTTACGGGTACATTTGGTTGACGCTGTTACCGATGTCAATTTGTAAATGGAAGAAACAGAGCCCTCTGGGCTCGGCTTCCCTCCTTCCCTCGGCAGATTCTCGTCTCAAAAGATTTTCCGAGGGGTAAATCTTCCTTCTCTCGCCTTCGATCTTCGCTACGTTTAGCTGTTCATCATATGATTTTAATATCTCGATCGATGCCTTGTTTGATTTTTCATTTGAATTGTTTGGATCAATCCGTTTCGCATTTGGTCCCGTGGCTCATGATTTACGATTCGATCCGTTTTCTGTTTTCAGGTATCTAGAGTTTTCTTAGAGGATTGTGCTTTCTATATTTTAATCTGTCTTGCTCTTGTTTGCTCATATTTATCATGTATATTAACTCTCCCAGAGACTCTTGTTCCAGTTTCATATACATACCTGTTCGTATTTTCGCTTGGACCATGTTGTTTGTTTCCTTGTTCTATTGGACTTTGCTCGATGTATTCTTCCTCTCGTGACTCGTTTTCGTTGTGCTCTATTGGTTGGCTATGTTTGTATTTTTGGTCAATTGCTATTAGGCATATAGACTGAGGCAGATATGGGACTGAGCTTATTAAGCTGCCTTTTCGCCAAGAAGGAAATGCGTATTCTGTACAATCTGAAGCTAGGTGAAATTGTCACCACGATCCCAAGTCCCAACCATCAGTAAGGATCAAAAGGTTATTTCAGTTTTCTTGACAAAACATGATCAGATGGAATGGTGGAAGTGTCTTGTGAAAGGGAGCCTGAGGTAGACACTCAGAAAGTTGAACCAGAGAACTGCAAATTATCTGACCTTGACCCCGAACCAGACGGACCATCGAGAAAATGATGGTAACTTTCAAGGAATGCTGCATTTTCTTTTCTCCTTTCCATCCTTATATGGTTTTGCGTCCTTGCCTCCCTCAATCCAAGATTCTCGATATATTTTTTTTGGTTAATTGCCTGACTTTATATTGACATGTCATGTGATTGTGAGTTTTTCCTTCTCTGCCGTTTGATCAAAGGCAGAAACAGATGGGATTCCCGGCGAGCTATGAGTTGCAGAAGCAATAGATCCTCAAGAAATTCAAGGCCGAGGTACCAACGCTCCTAAAAACTTATGCGCCATCGTCGTCGTCGTTGTTCTTACTGGTTTCCTATACTTCATAACATCTTTTCTTTTGTCGCGTTTTTTCCCTCAGCACCCGGAAATGGATTTCTCAAATGCAAAAATCGTTTGATCTTCGGATTATGACTGTTCTTTTGAACGTGGAGAGCGCTGCCGCTGAGCACATGCTGCTATAGAGGGTATATTTGTAATCTTGTGCAATTATGATTAGGTTAACTCTCTTGTATAAATACCCTAATGTTGTTAATGATAATTAAGCCACTTTTGCATAATTATTATAGCTGCAACCTTACTAGCTTCACTGTGTTGGATGCAGGAGGCCAGGAAAAGGTAAGATATCCGTGAAATTACGTATGGCATTGGAGAAGCTCATTTTCTGATATCAAGAAAATACCTCTGCCTGTGTCCGAAAGCTACTTTTTAAAGTGTTCAAAAAAGTTCGTTAGTGACATTATGATTGGTTGTATAATTCAGAATTCAAGTTGACATGTTTGATCCTCTCGTGCTGTAATTGTTTTGTATCGGTTTCTCCAAATTTGAAACGCATACTGACCCACTTCATTGCTTCAAAAACAGCTCCGCCCACTGTGGAGGCACTTCTTCCAGAACACCCATGGTCGTATACATTTGCTTTGGACAGCAATCCCAGGGACCGCATTGTCGAGGCAAGGGATGAATTATCACCTTTTGTTGAACAAGATTTGCGAATTCTTAAATCGATTCTCTGTTCTGTACTTGAAGTTTATTTGTGCTCTTGCTTAGCTGCTGAAGTATGGTAGTCAGGTTTAGTTTTCCGGGTCTGTGTCCGTCCAATCTTTGCCTTTTGGAATCATAGCTTTGTTGTCTGGTCCCTTAAGCTCCATCGCCATCTTCACATTCTTCGGTGGAGAGTATCGATTTCAACGCTTTTCAGGCCTTGTTTGGAAGCCAGTTCCTTGACGCAAAAGCCCTTCTACGTTTTATGCAGCAAAAATCATTTTCTTGAACCCGTCTTCGTATATAATTGTCATCTTGTTATCTCTCTGGTAAAAATTCTCTCCGACTTGGTTTAAATCTGAATGCAGGATGAACCGAGAAGTGCGGCTCAGCTTTTGTTTTCCGTTCCAGCTTTTTTTGTTCTAATTAGTGATTACGTGTCGAGACAGGAGGTGTGTTGTAGATCTGTCAGTTGGATGGAAAAACATCAAAGTCTATAATTGTTTTCCAGCAAAAAAGTTTGAAGCTAGCAGCCTCGCACGTGTTGATTTGTGTTATCTGATATAAAATTCAAACGTGGCTCATAATATGTTTTACATTTTATGTGGGGAGGGAGAATACTATGAGGAACTGCAATTATCAAATAGATTGTGCTTAGGGTAGTATTATATATACATATATATTACCAAAATATCATGATTCTATAAACGGACAAACGTGCCATTTGTATCGATTTTTCGGTTCTCCTTGTTTTGGGTTGCGACGTTGAAGCTGGACCGGGTCGGCCCGTATCATTTGAAATATCTGCAGGTTTCAGATTCGAAAAATCACAGAAGATATTTATGTTAAAAGATACGAAGAGGATATTTTATATCTTATGATCTAAAAACAACTCATTAGTGGTTGGAATCATGGGCGATGGACCCACCAGACCGTGGTTGTAACCACGAGCTTTGCTTTTTCCTTTTATGGGTTCCATTAAATCTTCTTGACAAAACATAATTAGAGCTTTGCCCTTTATTAGACATTTCCTTGATGCGAGGACGAACTAAGTCCACGTCTCTCCTTTTTGTCGCTTTACTACAAGATTCCAACCTTCACGCGCCCTCCCTCCCGCGTGTACACACACCACACCCCTCGACTGTGAATAGAAAAACAGATTAATTATTTTCTGTAATTAGAATAGTATATTCTCTTTGTGGCTCCATGATGACAACTAATAATAATAATAATAATAATAATAAATAATAATAATAATCTATGTAAAATAGTGCGATCACCGTCCCAATTCTAATTAACCATAGAAATATTTATTTATTTTAAATATAATTAGGTAACTCATCCTATGTAGCGTTTGTAAATATATATATATATACAAAATACATATAAAAGACAAAAATTCAAAAACTCTGCTGAGGCGGTGTTGATGACGCGCTCATGAAGAAAGTAAGATAAAGTTCGCAAGACATATCCACTTAATTCACATCACAGCCACTTAAACGGGTTTCTTTTTAATACTGCCTTAAGTGTGCTTTAATATTTTCGTATGATTAGGGCAAATCAAGCGCTTTTTCTGTTATGAAATCTTACTCTAATCAATTCAATTAATAAATATTAGTCCATCAATTATACAAAATAAATTTCAAACTTTATAAATATCGTCATTTGACTTTTAATCACCAATGTTTGTGAATAACACAACATAAATATAATAAAGTTTGAAATTTTTATATTCCGGAATAATTGTACCAAATGTTTCAAGTCTGCTGTTTTTTAGTGACAAAATCTATGAAAATATAATATTCCTCCCACATTTCTAACTGAATTTCATAAATTTTCTCGAATCAATTCGGAATTCGAATTATGATTTCCACAGACTCATTAACATTTGTATCAACATTTTATAGAGATTTATTATTAAAAAAATCATTTTATAGAGATCACCGTATGTAATATTTGATTTGAAATAATAATTAAAGTAGCTTATTGTTAATTTATTGGATAAATTGGAATAAGAAAGTAGACATTTGGTTTGGGATCGGTCACGATAACTTCTGCAGTACTTTGTCGTGGTCGCAACCGAAGCCAAAAACAGATCAGGATCTTCTTGTGTCCACATCTTTGTACTTTTCTTTGTCTTTTTCTCTTAATTTATTCTGGATTCTATTTTTTTTTTACAAAAATAAATATCTTCTTAATTGATTATCCCTTCAGTTACCTAATTTATTTGCACGTAATTAAAAAGCACATAGTTATCTACAAGTTTAATCTCAGTATCTGGTCGAGCAGCGACGGTCCATGGAATCGTCAGACACAAAGATTCCGATTCAGTCAGAGTCTCTAATTTTTACTAAATTAATACACATAAAGATTAGTGATTCTAGGCTCTAAAAGAAACTTATTTAACCATTTGTAATAACCCTTTTCAGAACCTTTGAATGTGTAATTTCACATAAATATTTCCCAATAACCCTTTTTTAGTTGATGATTGCAAAGGCAGTTGACAAGGGGCCATGAATTTTGTCTTTTATGACATGCCAGGGATTCATGTAAAAAGAAACGGCGAGGAGTTTCAACTCGTGGCTTCGGAACGCTGAGGCGTCTTTCTAAGGACTTCAGAAAACCGCCTAAGAAAAACAGCACGCAGTTCTTTCACGAGGTCTCGTAACGGTATGCATTTTTATAAACAGAATGGCATCTTTTTTGTACGAGGGGAAAGGCGACTTCTGTATTCGATGACGAATAAATAGGACTTTGGAAAAATTCTTCCACCTTTAGTTCATCATTTCTATTATTTTTTACATAATATGTTGCAAATAAAAAATGAGTATTTATTTCGAAAATAGACGATAATCTTACCCTAACCAGAAAAGTAAGGTTCATTTCTCAACTCAATTTACATGTGTTATATATATATATATATATATATATATATATATATATATATCTTTGTATCATGATATTCGGAACGTGTCAATGATTGGTTGGTTGATCTATGGATTTACTAGAGCACATAAAAATATAATACTGATTGTCATGTATCTATATGCTTTGTAAAGTACAGAAAGCATATATGCTCTTAAAAATACATATTACCGTATATGGGTGATGTCATTATTCGATGAACCCAAACATATATATTTAAAACCCGAAGCAGATAATTCGTGTAAAAAGGTGTTATATATATATATATATATATAAACGCGTACATGCAGACGTGCCCACGTAAATGAACGTATGTACGCAAATTCACGGCCATGCATGCTTGTCTATATGCATCGATCCACCAATGCATGAGTACAGTCTCGAATGGCTGATTGCTATAAACACATAAAAAAATCAAACTTGCACATTAAAATAGAAAGTTTAACGGAAAAAAAATATATATACACACACACATTATATATATATATATATATATACACACACATATGGATGCTTGGCCATGCAAGCATGTAGGCGTAGGATATGCGCATAAGAGAAGAGTTAGGTCTGGGAGACTCCCTTGCGTTCATTAATTATTCTAGGGAAAAAAATAAATTAAGGAAAATGTGAGTTAATTAATTTTCTTAATCTTTTAATAATAGTGATTAAGAGTTGATTTAATGGTTCTTAATCACGTGGTAAATTTCATCTATTAATCTCTCTCTATAAAAGCAGAAGCTACCCCCACTCCACACTCAATATCACCACCATCCTTTCTCTCTCTCTCTCTTTCTTTCTCCTTCTCTCTATATGATATCATATATATATAGATCAACAATACAGAGTAATATATATATATAAGAAAGAATATATAATAATATTATAACTTGGAGGGGGGGAAGGATGAATATGGAGAAAAAAGGAAGCAGCAGCTCAGGAGACGCGGAGGTGAGAAAAGGGCCGTGGACGATGGAAGAGGATCTGATTCTCATCAACTACATCGCCAACCACGGTGAAGGAGTTTGGAACTCTCTTGCCAAAGCTGCAGGTTAACTAAATCGCAATATTCTCCATATAATAATATTATCTTTATCCTATGATTCTAATGTTTACCCTATATATATATATGTATATAATATGATGAAATATATATATGCGTAATTAGGGTTTGGTTCAACACATTTCTAACTAGCTAGCTTTTTCAGTCTTCTTTTTCCATTGTTTCTTCGAAGAATCTTGCGCGCACATACACATATGTATACATACACTATATTTATTTTTCCATTTTAACAGTATATATAAAGATCTTTAGTCTGCACGGGATTTAAGCAAAACATTTTTTTGTAGTATGATCTCGAGCTTCACGTGGACTTGGGTCTATATAAACAAAATATTTGTTCGGTTTAAATAAGAAGAAAAGAGGATTCTAATGAATCTAGTCGGTTTATATATATATATATATATGATTACAAATAGAAAATTGATAAAAGATTAAGGTTTATATATATATATATATTCGTTTTTATATATCCTCCAATATGCAAACAAACTACAATGATACCAAGAAGGGACTTCAGTTCTGCTTAGATCCACCAAGAACAGAATATTGTCATTTTGAAAATGCACCATACACAACATGTACAACACCTTATATATACGCTACAATAATCCTTGTATATATGTATGTATATGCATAGTTAACCATACCATGTATGTATGTATGTAAAGGTCTTAAACGCACCGGAAAAAGTTGTCGTCTCCGGTGGCTGAACTATCTGAGACCCGACGTAAAACGTGGAAACATCACTCCGGAGGAGCAGCTCACCATCATGGAGCTCCATGCAAAGTGGGGAAACAGGTCAGTTTTAACGCGCAAATATATATATATATATATACACACACACATATAGATCTTGAATAAAACATATGTAATTTTGCAACCACGGTTCAAAGGCAAAATCTTCGAACTTTGGATCGTTTATGTACCTTTGAAACTGGTTCCACCTATTTTTAAAGACAATACAGCTAAATAAAAAACAATCGATTAGGTTACTAAGCAAATTCAAGTTGTTCTCAGCCATCAATTTGTTTTTTCCATCACGTGCCGAAATTTCGTGGCCACTAACATTCACACGTGCCTATTTTTTCAAGAAACTCGTGGATACAAATTTTTTTACGTTTTTTTTTTTATATTTTTATGCTCCTAAATTTAATATTGTGTGGCTATTCAGAGTGCATTCCCCGTGCGACTATAAAGATATACACATTTATAGTTTTGCTTTAGATTTTTCTTTATTTTTTTTCTCAAAACTAAATAGAGCCAATGGTCCGATGGTAACGAGTCTATAATACAGATTATGTTTCTACTCAGAAAAGATAATCTATTAGAGATTCGTGTATATCTCTAATATAATCATATCAATTTCTCAATTTTTGAAATAATGATAATTTTAGTTATTGGTTAATTTTTTGCTAAGTACACATGTGCGTTAGGCGCAGGCCAGAGAGACATGAAATACGGTAGATACCTAAGTCGTGTCACAAGGTCCTGAAACTATAAATAATTTCGTTTTTGTAAAAGGCATCCACCCACCTACACACAAATCTCAAAATATATTAATTTCGATTTACTAAATTATGCTAATTATTATTAAAAATTTTACATAACAAGGTTTTGACCGTCCGTACGATAATGCCGCGCTTATAGAGTTATACTGTTTTGCAAATTCATGAAGCTGAATATATGCAATAATTAATCTGTCAGAATATATTCTAAATTCCAATTATCACAAAGTGCCGTCTTTTTCAAAAAACAGATGTGAAGTAGACACATACCTTAATGTGTTGGTCCCTCGTAAACAATTGGACCTAACCTCAAAATCATTACATGTTTTAATCAGTTGTTTTATTATGTTTATAGACATTGATTGTTCATTTGAAGATTTAATCACGCCTTAATCAAATTATTTATAGATGGTCCAAAATTGCCAAGCATCTGCCGGGAAGAACCGACAATGAAATCAAAAACTTTTGGAGGACAAGGGTCCAAAAGTACATAAAGCAAGCCGAAACGACGTCGTCCGTTGGATCACAGGGCTCAGAGATCAACGATCAGGCGAGCTCCAACCAAGCCTTCGGCACGCAAGAAGCATTATACTCTCCGACAACGGCGTCGTATCAAGCAAACATGGGACTGGACTACAACTATCCTCCCTCGTCGGCGTCGCAGATGCAGTTGCCGATCGATCAGACCGGCGAAAACTATTGGACCATGGATGATCTCTGGTCCATGCAACTACTCAATGGTAATTAATTAGTTGATGAAATAATGACGGCCCACAGAGATGATCATTGATTCGAGTACTTTCAATTTGGGCCCGTCGATGCAAAAAAAAAAAAAAAGGGCTTGCTTATACTTTATATATATCGATGTAAGTACTGTGCTTAGTACTTCAATCAAACTTAATATGGTTTGTGTCCATGTTTAATGTACTTAATTATAAAAGGTAAGTAAAACTATGGAATGGACCGTATATTTTTTTCGGATTGTTCTGTCTCGTTTCAATAATCATTTAAGCGTTAATTATTACTATTTAAATATTGTTTATGAGAGCATAATTCCACATTGGTATATCCCATGACATGTTTTTTTTTTTGGATAATTACGCGTGACAATGTATTCAGAACGTGATATTCTCCAATGGATATATATATTAATATATATATGACATTGACCCTTACACTCAATTTATAACTATAATTTTATTGGTCTACGAGAGGCTAAATTTTATATGCATTTTATGTTATCTCTTTCACTTGCGATTTTAAAATCCATTTATCGAGTAGTCATTTTTTCTAAAAGATTGCTAAATTTTAACCTTGACCAATCGTTTTAAAGGGTGCACAGGGTATATGTACATGTGGGATGTATGTACATATCACATGACGTACCACCCATGGACATACATAAACCTAATTCAGCTTATCATCAGAGGACACGTGTCAAAGGGGCTAGCTAGAATTGTATTATGCGGTACTCCTCTCGTTGGCCTTTTCCAACCATATGCCTATTTTTGTGCATGGCCATGCAGCATGTAGAACCCGACGTGAACCTAACTCCAAAGGCCAAAACCACGAAGACGACAACATAGATATTAATTTTATTTCATCGTTATTAATTTCCAAGATGCTGAAAATTGTACGTAGTTGTAGGAAAATCCATCTTCGATTTGCAGTAATATCGATCGGGTAGCGATTAATGTTCCAGATTCATGGATTATTTTATGAGAAAGCTATACAAAAGGAATTTTCCGATATTGGAGTATATGTGTGTATATATAGGTTGAAAACCGTAATTTTAAATAATTGGACCGGCCTGAAATTTAATGGACGACATAAGGTTAGGTCGGGCATGACATATGCATTTAAGATGTACCGAACCTTTTAACTTTATCAACAAAATCCTTTTTCCGAATAAGTCATAGGTTAGATAATTCAAAGCTCCATTTCCTCTTCTCTATGCACTGATTTCAGAGGGGAAAAGGATAATTATGCACAATAGATGAAAGAGGACCAAACAAAACAAATAAATACAAGCATACACACACACACACACATATGTGTGTGTATATATACATGCGTGTATGTACGTGTGCGCATAATTCTATATAAGAGCCTGCGCATACATATATTACGTTCGAGATGATGATTTAGCTATTGAACCATGGATCTTAGCTTTTCCCCGACGTATTACGTAGTATTCTGGTAACGCGAATGCAATTGCTATATATATGTTCATTGCATAAGCATAAACTAAATTAATCTCTAAATCTGTGTAAACTGTAACATATACTCAAAGCATCACTTGTAGATTCGATCGTTCTGAAAAGAATCTTTGCATCTATGTGTTTGGATGCGTGGATTTATGCGTGTGTGTGTATATATATATGCGTGTGCGTGTGCGTGAAATGTGAAGTGTTGTTTTCGACCGCTCCTTTGATATATAAGCCACGTGATTTTCGTGTAGAAATTGTCAACTTGCCATGTGAATTATATAAAGGAGAATCACATGGGGGGTTGGCCACAATTGGTTATAAAAACGTGGAAGAAGAGATTGGCTTTTTTTTTTTTCATCTCCCAAATGAAAAAAAAAATTAGCATCCCATTTTTCTCCTCTTTTGATTTTAAGTGTGTATATGTTTGGAGTAACCAATGGCATGTGATGAAGTTTACACAATGACATATAGATGCTTCATCCCCTAAACTCCCATGTTTTTAGGACAAGAACTCGATATATTTTCTGGCATTATAAAATTTAAGTTATACCAAAATAAATATATAAACTTTTATTTCTTTTTATAAGAAAGTGATTACATTAACTATATATATATATATATTCGCGAGGGGTACTCTCTTATCAAAATAAACATATTCACGAGGCACATGTGGTACATATATACACACACACACACACACCGGATTTGGTATTATTAGTGAATTAATTTTGTAATTTTATATATCGCTTAAAACTATTTCGCATGAAAATTTTCGCGGCTTGAACCGCCCGACTATATTACAAAGTTGTATATTAATATATGGGCTTGTTTAGGAGAGAGGGCCCATATTCATTGTTCTACATCCAAAGAATAAGGCCCGTTAAAATGTTAGCCCATAATGATAAAAAAAACCCATAACTTTTTCTCTTACACCTTTATAAATTAATTATTCTCACCCCTCAATACTACGATACTATACGCTCTTCTCAAACATTTTTGGGATCTTTTAAAATTATATAAACTTAATTCGTAAAAATTTTAGTTAGTATATAAAAGTATTTTAAATTTTAATTTTGTAAAATACATCATAAAAAATTAATGTAAATAGTTGTTCTAAAATAATTGAAACGACATGATAATTTTCTCTACTTTTTTTTATGGGTCCCACTTTTGTTGTAAACACTAACGATTCCGATAAAATCGTAAAAATACATCATAACAGAACAGTCAGATACCACGGTTAAAAAAATCCGATGATAAAATATAAAAACTCCAATTATGCATGTCATTATTTTATATTTAGTTTGCAAAATTTGGAATATAAACTGGTGTTAGATTTGATTTATAAAAAAATATAATTTGCAAATCAAGGGCATTTGGTCTAGTGGTATGATTCTCGCTTTGGGTGCGAGAGGTCCCGAGTTCGATTCTCGGAATGCCCCTTCTATACATTTGTTTTTTAACCTGTTCGAAGTTTGAACGGTAATTTTCGTCGTATTTCTTGGATCGTCCGGCTTATTTATTGTATATATAGGCCATGTCCCATGTACGTGTACGCGAGATTTATCTATCCCGAAACTACCCCTTATCCTCTCCATTTCCTATCCTCTTTCTTCGTCTCTGGAGACTGAAGCGAGTCACAGAACACACCCAGAGAAAGAGGAAGAAGCAGCAGAGAGCGGAAATGGCAGCGACTCTCTCCACGTCGAGTACAATCCGCGCCTCGTCTTATCCTTCACCCCCTTCTGCCTCTTATCCTACGCACTTCTTCCTCTCCCGACCCAACTCCGTCGAATTCCCGTTCCGTCCCCTCGGCGGCTCTTCCCACCGCGCCAACCACCTCCGCCCCGTCGCTGCCGTCGAAGCCCCGGAGAAAATCGAGAAGCTTGGCACTGAGATCTCGTCCCTTACACTCGAAGAAGCACGTGTCCTCGTCGACTACCTCCAGGACAAGCTCGGCGTCTCTGCCGCCGCATTTGCCCCAGCCGCGGCGGTCGTTGCCGCTCCGGGAGCGGCCGACGGAGGAGGAGCGGCGGCTGCGGTGGAGGAGAAGACAGAGTTCGATGTGGTCATCGACGAGGTTCCAAGCAGTGCTCGCATAGCAGTGATCAAGGCTGTCAGGGCTCTGACGAGCCTGGCGTTGAAGGAGGCAAAGGATCTCATCGAAGGGTTGCCGAAGAAGTTCAAGGAAGGTGTGTCAAAGGACGAAGCAGAAGAAGCCAAGAAGCAGCTCGAAGAAGCTGGTGCTAAGGTTTCAATTGCTTGACGGTAAGAAAATGGTTCATGTCCTTTTTTTTTGTCCGTTGTTAGCATAGTTTGCGTCTTAAATTGTTGATTTTGCTTGAGAGATTATTGTAACTGGATCATTTCGAAGCCTGGACTTTGCTCAGGGAAAATGCATGCGTTGTTAATGCTATTGCTGATAACCTGTTCGTCGAAATGCCTAGCTGAGAAACCCAGCTCTTCAATTTGCTAAAATTGTGAACTTTTTTTTCATGGGTTTAACATGTTGATTATGAAAGCTCCGCTCTTGATTTATCTTATCCATACCAGAGAATTCAAGTTGACAAATTCTTTTTTGTCATAGATAGAAGTAGCCTCTATAATTTGGTCAATTTGGAAACTTGTATAGAGGTTAAAGGGTATTTACGATTATCGATGCATATACGTGCATAATATGCATGTCGATGAGATGTCCTAAGGAAAGCTAACAATGACATGAAGACGACTTTGGACCGAAGGTATTTCTAATATTGTGGAGAAACAAACACATTGTAACAACCGGACGCAGTTGTATGATTTTTGTTTTCATGTTTTTCTGCCTTTTTTTTTGTGTAAGAAGAATCGTGTAGTTATTTGAATCGTGAGATTCTGATATACGAATTTGCCAAAGGACTTGGTTGTCATTCCGAGTATAACTATAAACGAAAAAGAACTAAAAGGCCGTTTTTTTAGGTTGTTTTTCTACAAAATAGTGTTAATTGAGACTATTTTCTGTTTAAAAAAACCTCACGTATATACAATCTTATAGGAAAAAATGTACTATTTAAGCTTCTTTCTTTATTTTACACTTAAAATAACCTAAAAGAAAATGAAAAATTGAAAAACTTTATGGATTTAATCGGAAAAACAAACATATTTTACTTCATGAATTTATAAATAAACAAAAACAAAATATTGATCTTTTCTCGTAAATAACACAGAAAGTTGGGCTCATGGGCTGGTTTTGGGCTTCTGCAAATTCAGAGTACTTGAAACGGCAATGTTATTTGTCGTTTTATCGCAGTCATAGAATCTTGCTTTTATTGCGGCATATATCAGCCGTCCAAGCACGGGACACGTGTCTATCATCGGAAGCAGATTAATGAGCCCGAATCTCCTGTCCTACGCTTGGGTACACGCGCGTGTCACACATTAGCCATTCTCCTTCCTCCACGTGGGCATCCATCCCTCGTCGCGTGAATACGAAGCGAGTAGCATTAACTTTCCTACTTGCGGAGGTGATGCGGTAGCCGTTTTGTTTGTCTTTGTGACGTAGAAGATGACCGCCTGATTTAAAATAAATCAATAAATAATGTATCCATATTTATCCCATTCTTCTGGCAAAATAGATAAATTAGTAAAATTATTAATTACGACGATACCCCTTTTCTGTTTAATATTCAGAAAGGGTAAAAATTGCGCCGCGACGAATTTCATTTCCTTCAAAGAGGAGTAGAGGTAGAGATAGAGATAGAGAGAGAAATATCATTCGCCTGAGAATCGGTCGTCTTTGTTTGTATTTAGTTCTTAGGAAGGGAGGCGGTGTTTGAAGAGTCGAAGCTCGAAAGTTCTTCTCTTTTTTCTGGCTCTTCGTCTTGTTCTTCTTCAGGTAATTCTTTGTTTTTGTTGTTCGTATGGGGAAAAAAGGGCGGAGCTTTCCGCGCAATTTCAGCGATTTCTGTGTTTTTTTCCCCCTTATTCTTCATTTGTTTGCGGCGTTACTGTTCATGGTGGTGTGGAGGGTTTAATCCTTTTGCGGATATGGGGTTGCTTTGTTAGTCTTAGGTTGCGTTGATTTCTGATTAGTTTGTCGTTTTCTGATTATTCCATTTGTCTTTGTTGTAGTCGCGCAGGACTTTTTCTTGCCGCCGATTTTCTCGGGAAAGTGTATTTTTCTCCCGGGAAAATAGAATATGGAAGTTGTCGTGGAAAACCCTGAGGAAGCAAGACCCAAGGATTGTGTCGTGGAACCACGTGACCCTCGTGGCAAAACCCTAGGGGGTGAGCCGAAACCTACGGGTTCGTTGGAAAGTGCTCGAGAAAACGGTGCTAGGGCTTCTGAAAATGGAGACGAGAAACTGAGGGGAAACACCGATGAGACCGAGATTTTGTCGGGAAAAGGTGTTGGAGTGGATAATCTTAACGATCCTGTGAATCTAGAAGATTCAGACATGCATGGGGTTTCATCGTTGTTGAAAATGAAGCAACATTTCGGTAAGAAAGGGAATGCTAACTCATCTGATGTTGTATATTCTGTAAAAGACGTGAGTGTACAACACCAAGAAGAGAGTGAAGAAGAAGATGATGAAGAAGAGGAAGAAGATCATGGGTACCAAGTGGGAGATTTTGTGTGGGGCAAGATCAAGAGTCATCCATGGTGGCCAGGGCAGGTTTACGATTCTTCCGATGCTTCGGTCTTGGCTTTGAAGATAAAGCGGAGGGGAAGGTTACTTGTTGCATACTTTGGTGATGGGACATTCGCTTGGTGCCGTCCATCGCAATTGAAACCATTTGAGGAGAATTTCAAAGAGTTATCGAGGGTAAGCAGTTTGAAGTTGTTTGTCAATGCTGTGGAAGAGGCTGTGGGAGAGATGGGTAGACATGCTGAGCGTTTGATGACAGAGCAGTTAGGTGATGATGGAGTGGTGAGACCAGTGGCCATGAATGCCGGGATTAAGGATGGAGTTCTTGTCCCTGATGTCCGAAGGGAAACTGTCTCGTTCTTGTCGTTTGAACCCAGAGATATTCTCGGGGATGTTGGAAATCTTGCAAAGACTTGTGCTTTCAGTGATTTGCTGGAGCTCGAGGTGTTGAAAAGGAAAATATCGGCATTTTATCAATCTAACGGTGGTTACAGTTTGACAGCGTACCATGACGCACAACCGGTCCCAGGGCTTGAAGACAAGGATTTAGTTCGAGCAGTTAAACCACGTGGTCCTAAAGGTTCTGGGGAAGAAGATGGGCTTATCCCTGACAGATCTCACCATAGATCACTGGAGCAATGTTCTGGGTTTCCCGAGCATAGGCTGCACCATAGGAGGAAGCAGAAGAGCATTGCTGAAATCTTGGAAACCGAAATGGCTGCTCAGGTGAAGAAAGCTGATGAGCCCGAACCAAGAAGCACAGGTAGGAAGAAGAGAAAACGCGATGATGAGGTTAAGGATATTGAAAAGACATCAACTAGTGCTTCTACTACCCCGAGGAAGAGGAGGAATGTTAGCAAGCTTTCTATCATTGAGAACGCTGGTCCAAAGCAGGAGGACGAAATTTGCAAAGAGAAAACTTTGTCGAGAAAGAGGAAGAAAAGGAGTGCAGATCTGGGAGATGATGCAAGCGATAAAAAAGATGAGACGGCCGGTGTAAAAGAAGAAAGTGACGAGAAGGAAACCTTGGATTTGGAAGAAGATGGTGACTCAACCCCATTGGATTCTCTACGGAAAAAGGTGAAGACTAATGCTCTGAGTGTTGAATTGGAGAGCGGTAATGGTGAGACCAAAGTGCAAACTCCAATTGACTCAATATCAAGAGAGAGGAAGAAGAGCAAGTATCTCTCTCCTCCTTACACATCTGAGGTTGGTTGGAAAACCAGGAAGAGCGAGACAGGAGCTGATTTTTTTAATGTCTCGGGTCAGATGGCGAATGCTGCTGGGAATATCATGGTGGCAAACGGAGGGAACCCATCAGAGAAACCCATCGAGGCATCAGCTCTGGATTCTGGTCATCAAGAGTTGTCTGGTGAATTGGTAAAGGCCATTGATTTTCTGAGAACAGGAGCTCCAGCAGAGGAAGTGAGGGATCAAATCCGGGCAACTGCTCTTAGTCCACAATTTCCAAAGGGTGATAGCTCTGATCATCTGATGAGAGCGTTCATTTCCATCTACAGAAGTTTTACATATCATGACGGGGCCAATAGCAAGATTCACATGGAGCAAACTTCAGATAAAGAGAACGAGCAGAACAGAAAAGAACAGAATGAGACGAGCAAGCCCTCGAGGAAGGAGGATAGCAAACCCGAGAAGAAGCCTAAAGAGAAGAAACAAATGGAGGAAAACAAATCAGAAACTGGAAAGAAAGATTCAGGCGCAGAGCTTTTCGTGACATTTGGTCCAGGTTCAGACCTGCCCAAGAAGGATGATCTGATCAAAATATACGGAAAGTTTGGGCCTTTAGACGAAGAGAAGACCGATATGTTCTACAACAACTTCTGTGCTCGTGTGGCCTTCGTCAACTTACCCGACGCAGAAGCAGCCTTTGACAGCTCGCAAGAGAAATGCCCATTCACCACTGCAACCACCATTACCTTCAAGCTCAAGCTTCCATCTGATGCACATGGAAAATCTAAGGAAAGGGGAAAGGAGAAGAAGCCCAAGAACCCGAGAATTGAACCCGAATACGTGAAGGGGAAGCTGGACGAGATGAGATCGATGCTGGATAAAACCGGTGGGGGAATGACTGAAGAACTGAAGTTGAAACTGGAAGAAGAGTTGAGAAACTTGCTGGAGAAAGTGAGCAGGATTGTGGTTTAGTCGTCTTAGGTTTTAAAAGGTTCTCAAACAGAAAAACACCGTGAGGGGAGTCTATGGTATGGTCTCTCTCGCGACACTATCACATCGTATATCATATAGTATTAGTGTTAGTTTTGGACTCATCTTCTGTCTGTATGGAGAATATTTTGCGGCGGGCCTTTTGTACTTGTTATTACAATAGGGGGTTCATTTGTCTGACTGTTGCTTTTCTCTCGGTTCCGATTCAGTTCCTGGTCCCTTTAGGCCCATAGGTGGCGAACTTAAGAAAGGCCGAAAGAGACTTGAGGTTGTATAAAGCCCAATGGGCCTTGAGGTTGTATAAAGCCCAATGGGCCTTGAGGTTGTATAAAGCCCAATGGGCCTTGAGGTTGTATAAAGCCTAATGTTCCTTGAGGTTGTATAAAGCCCAATAGGCCAACTATAACTAATTAAAGCCCATTGAGATGAGTCTATAAAAAGCCCTAAAGCTGCAGTGTCCTCTCCATCGGACAGAATGAAAAACCCTAGTAGTGTTTCATGGTATGCGTCTTTTTCATCAGCCGTTTCTTGTCGCAAAAAAAAAAAAAGGCATTTCCATTTATTTATTTTTTTCGTTTGGAGAAAAATGAAAAGATGGGCGAAGATGAAGAGTGCTTAACGATATTCTGACACCTCTTGTATGAGAAGAGCTCTCAAAGGCTCCTCCTTGAGCACATTATGCAACTCCCTGAGCCTCTTTTTTTTTTTTTGTAAATATGATTTGTTTTTTCCCTCGTTCACTTCGTTTTAAAGTTCGTGCTAATTAATTTTCGAATCACAAATTTAAAATAGGTTTTCTTTGGTCTTTTTCTTATTTGGTTTGAATGTTATCGTTTCCTTCGACGATGAAATGTTGTTTCGTAAATCAAATATTATTTTAATTTTAGTGAAAACTGTTTTGGCTATTTGAATTAATGTCTGTTTTTACAATCGGGAAGCGTAATGGTAAAGATTTCCATTGAGATTATAAAAGGTTGTCATAAAAAAAAATTAATATAGATGTTTGTATTCATATCCAATTATCACTTCCCAGCAAGACTGAAACACTTGGATGATCGTATTAAAACAACAAAAACATAGTAATAATTAATAATAATAATTCAGAGGCAATGACCGTCAGCAAAATCCATCATAGTGAGCGAACTCAACTCGAAGTAATCGTCTTGATGAACCCAGAAGGCGTTTGCGTTGTAGCAGTTTGTGATGTCGTCGAACATGGCAGGGAGTGTGACGTCATCATTTGCAGTGATCTGGACTTGTCCAGTGGGCTCGAAGTTTGTGGCTGTGTCCGTCTTATTGGTGTTGATCATGTCTTGTGGACAGGAAGAAGAAGTAGTAGTAGCCGCAGTCGTGAAGATCATCGGCGGTGGTGACGATGACTCCCCGTTTTTGGCTGTGGATTGATCTGATCTTATCCCGAGTTTCTTGCTTAGATGCGTGTTCCAATAGTTCTTCACTTGGTTATCTGTCCGCCCTGGTACTCTCTTCGCAATCAAAGACCATCTGTTTATTACCAAAACAAAAAAACGAATCAATGGCTGCAAAGATGGTATGTATGCATCGAGAATGAAGAGCACATACACACATATATATATATCATGTGCATATATATATATATATATCATTAATGAATCATGTATAGTCATGAAGATTTTTTCAGATGTCTTGAACAGACACTGTTCTTTTCACTATGAATATTAAACAACCTTGTAGTTGTGGATGTAAATGATTCATAAATGATAGCATTTACTTGTGTTGAGTGCACAATATCATATGTGAATTATGTTACTATGCAAATGCTCTTTTTTTGTGAATAACCTATAAAATAATAAAAAATATGTATTTGAATTAGATAACCAACTCAAAAAGATGGAAGAAAGACCAATCATAGATGACCGATCGATGGGAGATGTGGCTTACATTGATATCTCAAAAGATATTATTATTTGGGCTATATGTACAAACTCATAATGTCCTTGTAGATTCACACACACACACACACACATATATATATATATATATGTATTGATTCATCAATGATATATACCAGTGAATACTATTGACTAGCCATTACAATTAAAATAAACACATGATATATGTTTAAGAATTTCTCTGATGGGACATCATATATTACGTACTTTAGATGGAAAACATTCATCGACTTTAGATCTAGATATCTATCTAAATATGATATCATGTTATTCATTACGCAAATATATATACATATATATATATATGTATAGGGAAGAAAACCTGTTTCCAAGGAGCTTGTGGAGTCTGATGATGAGGTCTTCTTCTTGCTCGGTGAAATTGCCCCGGTTCACGTTAGGGCTCAGGTAGTTCATCCATCTCAGCCTACAACTCTTCCCACATCTCTTTAGTCCTAATCACAAGAAACCCACTTACAAAGTTTCAATCTTTTTCACTTTGTTCGATCAAAATCTTGAATTTAAATGAGACCTGGAATGATATATAATATATCTATAGAGAGAGAGAGAGAGAGAGAGAGAGAGAGAGAGAGACCAGTTTTCTTGGCAATACGGTTCCAGTGGCCTTTGCCGTGAGTTCGGACATAATCGATGAGGATCTTATCTTCTTCGACAGTCCATAAACCTTTCTTGTACTCCTCTTCTTCTTCTTTCCCTTCTTCTCGTGTCCTTTTCATCTTTTTTATTCTCTTCTTGGATCTTGATCCCTCGAGAGAGAGAGATTTATATATATATATATA